AGACAGAGAGAGAGAGAGGAGAGACAGAGAGAGAGGAGAGACAGAGAGAGAGAGAGGAGAGACAGAGAGACAGAGACAGAGAGATAGAGAGAGGAGAGACAGAGAGAGACAGAGAGAGATCTTACTGATACATGCAGGAATAAGAAACATTTCCCGCCCAAGAAGGAATGCAGGCAGCTCCTCCTCCCCGTGTTTATGTTTGTGTGGATTTACAGAAGCAAAGTCTGAGGAGGAAACAACAGAAACTACCACAGCTGACTAACAGAGACGTTTTAGGATAAATTCCACTATTTTGATAGTTACAAAATAATATAAATTACTTTTCAAATAACAGTTACCAAGTTATAGATCATTCATTTTAGATTTGTAATGTCATGTTTTCCTTATATGATAATACACTTGACTTTGCTGGTTTTAAACTGTAAGTAAGACAACACAAGCATTTCATTGACATTTTATTGACCGTATCATTAATTGATTAGGAAAATAATCATTAGTTTAGCATTCGTAAATATAACTTGGGCTTACAAATAGGACATTATAAAGAAATGTTTTACGACATTATGAGTTAGAATGTATCAGTTGATCCAGAACATGTTCCGCGGTGAAGTCAAAAACAAAGAACAACTACTTTCATCCCTAGGACAACGCAACATGGTTTTGCTCTGAATATTAAAGCCCTCAGTGAAACCAATATCCTTTTATGTCTGTACTAGAGAAAGCTTAACTACAAAAACACAACTGTTAAAACATCAAAATAGAGAATGCAGAGTCACTTACGCAGGCGATCTTCAGTAAATGCCAGAACTCTCTTTGTCTCTTGATCTGCATCTGCATCACTGTGTTGTCGGCGTCCTTGATGCTCTCCAGGGTTTTCTCAATTCGTGGAAACAAGTCAATGATCTTCTGTTTGCTGATCAGGATCTTACTGTTCGGAGGAGTTAGCAAAGGGCAGATGTTAGCATACAGTTTTAGCATACAGCGTTACTGCTGTTTAGGGCTGTACCGAGCTTCATTCACAACATTGACTTGATGATTGAGTCAACATTCCAACGCTGAGCAGTGTTTTTGTTTTGTCCAATTTTAGTTTGAAGTTGTTTTCTCTGGTCAGTTGCAGATGAGGATTAGATGATGTTAATATCATTAGTTATAAACAACTTGTAGAATTAGATTGCAGTGGTAGTTTAGCTGCGTAGGATTGTTTTTGATTGTGCAATCTGAAACATTTCCAATACCTCCAGAATGTTATGCTCCAAAAGGCAACATTTATTTAAAAGAACAACGCTGCAATAATTCCAAATGTCACAATATGTTGTTATCTCAAGCAATCCTCGACTTTAACCCGTATGTGTGAGCCTTTAAAAAGGTTTTTACTGGAGTCAAAAAAAGGCTCTCTCTTCCGCTGTAAGCACACAAAGGCTGAGGAGTTAGAAAGTTGATTTCATAAAAAAAAGGAAACATTTAAACTGATGAATTCATTTATTTAAACTGAGGATTTGGTGAAAGAATTGTTATAAAGTGTGATGAGATCATAAGATATTATAACACACGTTCCAAACCCTTTGATTCAACCCTAAAGAATATATTAATAATGGATTCTAAGAAGAAAGAACCACAGATCTGAATAAACACAAAAAGTCTGTTGGAGTGTTGGACAGTCCTCTTACCTGAGGTGTGTGTACAGATCTTTGAGGACCTTGTCTTGGTTCTGCACCGTCTGAATGATGGCCTTCACCATCTCAGAGCTGTCGCTGCTCACATCTGTCTCAGGTACTGACAGGGAACAATAAGTTCAGTACTGAACGCACATTTAAACTTCAACAGAATCATTTCTATTTGGCTTTTTGAGGAGAAGCAAGCTATTACATTGGTATTGTAACATTTAGAAAGACAATACATTTTACATTGTTCTTACTTTTGCATTTCATCTTCATTTGCTTGTAGAGCTCAATCGCCTTTTCTTCTCTGCAATAAAATGAATCGATCACATTTACATACTTTCAAGACTCATTTCTACATCATTGCTTGTGCTCCAGGAATGACATATTTGACCTTAAAAATGGAGGTGACACCACTCACTGCTCATACAGCAGCACAGAGGAGCATTTTGTTCATTCCCCACAAATTGATAAAAGCCATTTTTGTGTATTGTGTAAACTTTCCAGGAAGGCCTCTGGGATGTGTATTACTTAACACTATTGGTGATTTGACTTTCACCCTACACCCATTAAGCCTAAGAGTGGATGTTGTTGTTTTTTGTCACTTTCTACAAAGTAGTTAAACTCAATAAAATAGCTGTATCCATGTTTAGGATCAAAAACTCATGACCAAAATGGGACAAAACCCAACAACCCAACATCTTAACTCCACCTACGTTTCCCGTTTTGATTGGATGAAGACTTTGTTCATGTATTCACTATCAATTATTTTCCACCATCCTTGGAAACTTTTTTTAGAGAACACAAGCAGCAAAAAGCTAACCAATCCAGATCTTGCAGTCTTGACATGTATCTCTGTAGCCCTGACAGGAGGAGTCATTGAAAGACCCCTGGTTTGGTTCCTGGTGGGGACCTTTGTTGCACCCCTGACACTTTGGCATTAAAACTCTCGACATCAAAACCAATCATTTCTTGTGTAAACGACCACAGCATAACTCACAGCTGCTCCATCTTGTCTCCTTGGCGCCGAGCGTACGGACTCCTCTGAAGCTCCACTATCTCCGAGTGCAGAGCCATGATCTCATCGTCCAGATGGCTCACCTCCGCCACCTGCAGGACAAACCAGGAATCAATCACCAAAAGGATTGCAGAGAGACATTACAGGCCAAATTCCTTTACATTTTGAAAACAAGCCTTACCTGTGCAAAAGCCGCAGCTCGTTCCTCGTTCTCCTGCCAGGCCTTCAGCATTTTTTCAGAGGCTTTAAAAAAACATACACAGCTCATTAAAACAAAACTACATCTTGCTCACTTAAAACAAATATAGCCATGTAAATGTTCTCCATTAGAGGGGTATTTAGTGAACACTCACAAATGCCGTAGTGCATCTGATCGCTGTATTTCTCCAGGTCGTACTGGATGCTGCTCTTGAAGAAGTCCAGCTTGGCCTTCAGCTGCTGAGAGAAGCCGAACATGCTGTTCTTACACCGGGTCAGGTTGGTGTTGTAGCGCAGGAGACTCAGCCTGGAGGGAGAGGATGGAGACCATTTAGAATAGGAAAGGTTTGTAAGGAAGATAAAAAGCACCATTACAGGCTGGGGTTAAATCCCCTGGTGCAAAGCCTCTGATGTGTCTGGTGGCCACATCAGGCAGAATGAGCAGTCTCTGCAGGTGTGTTTGGTAACAAGGCCTGGGACCACTGACTCTTATCCTGTTCCACATCCATTACTTTAACCCACATCTCTTCAATCTCCCCATATGCAGATATTACTTGTACTTGACATTCTTAGCCGTGAAGTTTTGTACATCCCTGGCCTGGACAATATTTTGCAGTCCTGCACAAACTTTCACTTTTTCATATCTTTTGTAAATGTCTAGATTTGAGATGTTTTTGTCTCTCAAATATTGTGCTGTGTTTATTGTAGAACTGCAACAATGAGTCAACAAATCAATATGTGGATTGAGAGAAAAGAAATCTCTTAAATTAACTAGTTTTATATTATTAAACTGAATACCTTCCCACTTTGAAGTGTCAAAACAGGGCTTTTAAAGACATCACCTTGGACTTTGAGAAACTGTGATGACATTTCTTTCACCATTTTCAAACATTTCATAGACAAAACAATCCATTTCAAAATATCCTGGCAGATGAAACAACAATGAAAAATGGTGTTAGTTTAGTTTCATGCAACAAATCACCATGACAAAGTACTGGGATGTGCAAAGCTACTTGGAAATATAACTTTCTTCTGATTTATATGAAACTGTTTAACTAAAAACAAATTGTCAATAAAAATAACAACAAATGAATATTTGTCATGTTGTTGTGGATACCAGATGTGTCATGTGACTCACATGGCAGCCCTCTGTCCTTGGAAAAGCCTGCTGTAGTCATCCTTCAGCCCACAGATGTAGCTCACTGCTTCTCCCCAAACCTTCTTCAACACCACCAGAGGCAGCTGGGTCTTTGCCTCTTGCACTGCGGAGTTTAAACAAGATGAGAGTCGGGACCAAATAGAATCCGTCAGAGAATCCTTTTTACATCCTGACAAGCTAACTGACACAGGAAAGAAATGTTATTTTCTGATGTGTTCAATATAACGTATGCATGTTATGCTTCGAAGTAACAGTTGGCTTCTTTGTCTCAGCATGAGCACACCTTACAACAGACTCACCTATAGTGTTGACTTTATCCGGCAGTTGTCTGGCGCTAAGGGGCCCGGAGTACTTGGTGATGCTCTTGTCAAACAGGTAGACGATGTAGCTATCCCAGCCTCTCTACACAGGAGAGAAGAATATACACACTTATACAGCCTGTAAGTGCCTTTCCTGTCACTTCAAACAGCATCATGGACTGATTCAAAGTCCCTTAGAGCACATCCAGTAGGCTTCTGTGAGCCATGATACCTGCAGACACAGCTTTAACACTGAGAACAATATTTTAAACACCTTTGCCTGTCTTAAGGGTTCTAATGGGAGCCCTTAAAAGGTTAAAAAAAGTTTGCTTTATTAGCAGAAGGAAACTGGTAGGGAAGTTGCAGGAAACAACAAAGACAGCGGCTAGACTTCATTTGGGTCCTTAAAATCATCCAGGACACCAGCTAATGAAGGTTTTAACTCCAACAATTAACCTGAGCCTTTCCTTCAGTATAAGAAAATGAATGGTTTGGATGTTAAATATAAGTTGACTGAAGTTTCTAAGGGTAAAGAGGAAAGTTACAGCAGTTAAGTGTGATTCGGCTGTTATCTAAACTGCATTAAAGTGAACGTACCACTCCATCCAGGACACACTGTGCAGCAGGCTTCCTGGGGTCCAGGGACACCCCCGTCTCCTGCAGCAGCTCCTGGTTCACCACCTCGATCTTTGTCTCGGCCTCGATGCGCATCTGCAGACTGTGGAGACTTTCCTCTGGAGTCAGCTGGAAGGAGTGGACCTGAGCTGTGGTCATGTTCAGGATGTGGACAACCTGGAGAGAAATTAAACATTCACTGAACTGTTTGGTAAACTGAAGATATATATAAAGCACTCCAACTCATCATTGACAGTTCAAAGAAATCCAAAATTGATGCTGATGACGTTGTCATTTTTATCCAAGGCTGAATCCTAAGATAAACTCAGTCAGTAACTCACCTTCATACTCAGTATCTGCTCCAGCACATTAAAGCAGGAGGGCTGCCTGCTGTCAGGGTTGAGTTTGCCTCCTCGCTGGACAGGATCCCACTTTAACATGAGCTGCAGCAGAGATTCCAACGGCTCCAGCAGTGTGCTAAAAACAGCAAATAAAAGATGTGTTCAAGGAGAGAAATAGATACTAAACACTCTCCAAATACTGAACTTACAGTTTGCAACAATCCATATTCATAGTTTTTAAAAAGGGCTGTACTTAAAGTGATTTTCACTTTATATTCCTAAGCGGCCACTGCGGGAATCTAATTCTACAAATAGTATAATACTAATAATAGTAATATAACAGTGCAACCTCATTTTAACTGTGCCGAATTAAATACCAACTTTAAACACAAGGAACAGACATGAAAAACACATTGTCGGCAGCAAAGACCATGCACTGCAATCATTGTATTTCATGTCAATGTACATATTGACAAAAGGTTATAAGCTTTAAATTATTTGATCAGCCCTAGTCTTTGAAGAGATATGTTTGCCAGTCCCAGGGTCCTCACCTGCTCAGATTGTTGGGGTAGGGGAGGTGTGTGGAGAAGCGGACTTCCCCGTTAGGTTCCTCTACAGCCATGATGTCTTTTGGACCTTTATTCCTCACTTTGCTGGCCCTGTGGATGGGAAGAGAAGAGATGTTGATGATGGATGACTTAACATCTATAAACAAATGCTTTTTATTTTATGCCACGCACAAAAGCATAGAAGTAAGATGGAAAATGAAACATTTCACAGTGTTCACAAACACTGAGTGAGGAACTTTCTTTCATTGGGTTTTTGAGATGTTTTCCTTAAACACAGGGCTACATTTTTTATACATGAATGATGATTATTGTTAACTCACTAGGTGTTGGGCTGGCTGCCACACTTGTATTTTGTCAAGAGGTGAAAGGTGAGATCCAAATGTTTTGTTTTATTTTTTGTTTGCCAAGTTCTCATTTCTGGGATTTGGCTCCACCTGCTGGCCTTTCCTGCTTATTATTTTTCGTGCCTCAGTGTTCTTAATTGTGTTGCTTTCATATCTTATTGACCTAAACCATGTTATTCGACTTTCTAGCAGAAATATTACAGGTGTGGGACCTAATATACTCTTAATGATTTTCAATGCTGTATACTGGATCCAATCACAAGTTGAAAATACTCCAACTATCAAATGAATTGATTGCAACACAAAAAACATACTCATGGATTACCGGTATTATCATTACCTACCATCTGATTTATTTGGGCGACACCAGAGTTTCCGTTAGCCGGTAATTACCGGACTTTCTAAATCTCTCCGGTCAAAATGTTCGGTCAGTTGCGCCACTTATGTGACAGACAAGAATAGTCCATTCTAATGTCTGACACTTAATGTGGAGATAGAGATGTCCTGTATGGGTTGATTGTGCGTTGATCTGTTGGTAATGCCTCGGGGGTTCCGGTGGGCATGTAAACAAATGCATAATGCTGCGCTATACTTTGCGGCCTCACCCGGTTGCATAGCAACGCTTATTGTTTAGGTGTCTTGATAAGCAGGTAGTCATATCATTAGCTAGAACTAGCTAGATCTGAGCGATATGGACATAAACGCGAGTGAAGTCTAATCTGACGGGAGAGAGAGATCAGCTGCTGCTGACGGGTCGACACGCAGCTCTGCATGATCACCTGCAGCGGTGAGCGGAACAAAACACACACTTCAGGTTAGAAAATCACACTTAGCTATTTTAATTACCTCTCAAACTACCTAAACTAGTTATAGATACGTTTAGTTTTACTGTCGAGTCACTCATTACTGGATCCGCGAGCTGCATGATACTGACGGGCTGTCAGGAGAGAGAGAGAGCGCTCCGTTATTCCCGTGTTATTGTAAGTTACTGTACACTTTTGAATAATGTAGTTAATCTACAATAATTAGTTTGTTTAATATCGAATCATATCAATTTGTTTTAAAGCTCAATAAATAACAAAGAAGACCTTTGACCGGCACTTTTCTCATTTTGTCCGGAAGATTTCAACTTTAACGGACATGTTGACCGGCAAAAAAAAAATACTAACGGAAACTCTGGGCGACACCCATCATGTTCTGGGTTTTGTTACTGCAATTGCCATAATTTGGGGGTTTGGGGGACATAAGCAAGTAAATATAATGTTGCCGTGGAGTCAGTTGACCTAGATAGCTGTGTATTACAACTTTTGAGAGGCCTGTTTTGACTTAATAAGGCTATTATTTGATGTCTGTGTGTTCAGATTTGATAGAGTTGTTACTCAGATGAGTTTTGACACAGAATATGAAATGGGGCACTGAGGGTATAAGGTAATTAATTTGTCTCCATGAGCTGAGTTTCACACCTTCTGCTGCTGCAAACACTCACTGTGTGTGTTGGTGAGTGGCCAAACTAGCAGAGACACTACAATAAAAAGTGTCCCGTTGTTTTTAGAACACCAGCGTGAACACGTCTCTTTCACCTCACTCAGCATCTTTGCCTCAGCTCCTCCCTTTGCTAAGCCTATGCTCTGAACTGACTTCTAGACTGTCTTGATTTATGAGCTACTAAAGTCTCTCTATCTAAAATAAATCACTCCCGCTCGACATGTAGATGTCCTAATGTTTTGCTACTCAGTTCAACTCACCACTGTACAGGCTGCAGGTTGTGCAGGAATGGGCGGAAGCCACAACTGCATTCAAATACCATGGTGCCAAAGCTCCAGAAGTCCACCGTTACAGTGTATGGCTTATTCTCAAACAGTTCAGGTGCCTGCAGAGAAAGCATGCAATTCAACATGATTAATTTGATCCACAACTATGTTATCTTGCATTTTACATTTTGCATTTACATGCAAAAAAAACGATATAACACACAAGCATAACAGGACCCCTTTAAGGCAGTAGAAATATTGAATTATTCTAAAATATAATTAGGATGATTCATAGAGCTAGTATTATCTGATTGTAAAAACAAAAATTGTCTTGGTTTGCTTACCAGGTACTGAAGTGTGCCAACGAAGGAGGTACACAGACTGCCCTGGTCCAGGTCTTTAGCGTAGCCCAAGTCAATGATTTTGTGAACCAGCTGCAGAAGAATTATATGTTAATAAAACAAAGTTGATTTACTATGTGAGGTCAAACAAAACAAAACTGTCAGTTTACCTTTCCGTTGATATCTTGCAGCACTATGTTTTCAGGTTTAAGGTCTCTGTGTATGATCTTGTTTTCGTGCAGATACTGGATACCAGATCCTGGATCAGAAAAAAGTGGTTTAACCGAATGATGATGATGTTCTAATAAAGTACACATCTGATTGAAGAAGCCTCACAAAGAGAAAACATTGGTCTTACCAACATCATTGAGTAATGAAAGCACTTCACTCTCTTTCAACCCGCAGCAGTTTTCAGGTTTGCTCAGCAACTGTAACCCACACACATGTAGTTCTGTTACATCTGCATTTAATCTACATTACATAAATAGAAAAACACTCTCATACAACATACTATGGTTGTAAACTCATCTGTTTATCTGATGGAACTTTAAACATTGGACGTCTGCACTTTGACGAGTTTTACAATACTCTAAGCCGGGTACATTTGAAATACGTGTATGTCTGCACCATAATGGCCTCAATGAGAGAAAATAAATATCTGTTCTTCTCCCTCCTCTTTTAATCGGAACATTTTTCAAACTGTGCATCATAGCCAATATCGAAATGTATAAGACGGACCTAGCCCTGTAGTCTGCTGAGTCTCAGCTGGTAAAACATCCAATTGATCTCCTTATGCCCTCCTATGTTTGTTATAAAACAACCAAACGTATATTTAAATTGATTCACTACATAGCATTCAATTTGATTACAGCATAACATGCTAGATCCGACAATGTCAGTTGAGAAGATCAACGATTGATTTGCATATTGTCAGTCAAATCACTGCACCTTTTTTTGCTGTCTCCTTGTACACAGTAAAGCAGGAACAACAAGCATGACTTTACAAACTTTAAAAAACAAAAATTAAACCACAAAACTAAATGATGAAGACTGGAGGGAGTGATAGGAATGCAAAGCAGCATGACCAGACAGTGATACAACTTCCTCAACTGCCGTGTGATTTAAACCTCCCTTGACAGCGCTGTCAGCAACCCAGCAGGAAAGACGTTCTGTGGTTGCTTCTAAACTATGATCAAGATTTATTTTTAATAGGACTGCCTTGAAGTCTGATATTTTACCAGATGATGAACAAAAGCATTAAAACAGGTAAAACATGTTGGCTGATATAGACGTTTAGTGTGGGGCAGCTACTCTTCCGATGAGCTGATAATAATTGGGCTGGGGTGCGTGTTTTTTTTTTTTTTTTTTTTTTTAAAATAACATTTGCAGGTAGGGGGTCTTGTAGAAAAATAAATCAGTAAAGCCGTTTCATGGCTAAAATAACATGTGAGGTGATTGGTTTGAGGTGTATCCACTTTTGAGTTGAACAGTTCTGTTTTCAGGTGTTAAGATTATTTTCTCTTAGCATATATTGAAAGATAAGAATGAAAAAAATGCAAATTCAATTTTAGATTTATCTTGCTTTATGTGGATGTGTTATTTCTTATCTTCCTTCCTAGGTGAACCTCACCTTCCTTAGGTCTCCCCTGGAGCAGTACTCCATGGCCAAGAGTGGAAGGTCATTTAAGGCTATGTGCCTCATTTCCTCCGGGACATCTCGGGCTGTTACGACATTGATGTTATTCAGCCTGGAGAGAGAATGACAGGTCAATGCTGCATTACTTTTTATTGGCCATACAGATGGTGCTAAGTCATCCACTGAATGTCTGCAGTTTTTAATTTATAACAAATTATCACTTTGAATAAGTATGGTCACTATGATTCCAGGAGAGCACAGTATAATGTTGCTATAAATCAGTGTGAAATTTAAACAAGTAGTATATAAGAATTGTATAAAAATAAGACCGACTTTTTCATGATCTGGATTTCTCTGCTCCATCTGTCCTTGTTCCTTGGTGTGAGCTCCAGACGGCACATTTTCACAGCTAGTTTTTCATTTGTTTCCTACAAAACAGGAGCCAAAAAGTCCATTATTGTAGAGCATAAAAGCTTACCCCAGAAATAGCAGTTTGTGTGTACCACCCTCATAGATGTCACAAAAAAAAGAAAACTTTAACAATCCAAATAGGAAGTAAGTTAATAGGGATGCAGTTATCATAGTGGTTGTCTTGCAGGGTTTTAGTGTTCATTGTCAGGGTTATATGGCTCTAAACTCACATGATGTTGGTACAGGTAAACATGGGCAAAACCGCCCATTCCCAGCCTCTCTTTCAGCTCCCAGTTTCCGCAGTTCTGGTTCTGCCTGAAGGGAGGTTTCTCCATTTTTGTCACCCAGGCTGTGTATAAATGACATGTACATGACACAGTTCATTTACATTCCATTCAATTTATTTTTAAGGCATTTATGGTCACAAACAAATGGCGACGTTTGAATTCCTACATAGCTAGCTTAGCTAAATACAACTAAGGGCCGTGGCTACATCCTGGAACAGTAATGTCAGATTACATCGTAGTTTGCCCAATACCGAAGTCATGTTGACATATTGTGAAGATTTGGTACAGGTTGCCACTTGAATTTAAGGTAGCTGCTAAACAAAAACACTCACTAAAAGCTTTTTATTTATTTGTTTTTTTCAATGGCTAACAGATAGCTAGCAGCAACGTAAATAGTTTAGCCAACCAACAGCAGCCCAGTACATTGCAGGAAATAGACGTGCCCGGCTCCTCTAGCATTATGGCTGACAAATAAAGGCTTTGACGCCAGTTAAGTGACATTTAAATGAACGTTTCCGTTTCTAAAGCGAGTTTTGAGACTTACGTCGTCTTTCTATGAAAGTGTCATGAGCTGTGTTTCGGTAAAACTGCGTACTGTCCGGTTGTTTTCGGTTCAATGCAGCAGCACGGTGAGAATGTGTACTTTCCTGGGTGACGTCACCAGAGTGCCCGGCTGTTGAAAATGAAACAGTGGTGCGATCGATGACACAAACACCTGCTGCGTTTGGTTTAAAGACACCATCAACCAGTTATGACCCCCAAAAAATTTGTATTTCCTTCTCATATCCCTATACCTCCCTTTCAGATGGAAATCGTGTACTTTGTACTCCACAACATATATTTGATAGTTTCAGTTTATTTGCAGATTCAGATTATCTATACACATCATTGCATTAATAAATGCAATAATGTGCATTACTTAAAATGTGTCATTCTGCCTAATGAGTAATCACCTGATTGGCTCAGAGTAAGTTGCTTATGTTTTCGTAAACTAGAGTGGAATAACAAACACCAGTGTGATCTTGGTGATTTAGTAGTTACACAGGCGGTGCCTCCCGGTTGTAATTGTACAACATTACTTTTAAGCTATCCTAAAAAAGTCAGTGAATATTTTGTTTTTTTAAAAGACTACATTTACATAGTCAAAAGGTCCTTTTGTTCAGCCTCACAATGCTATTGGGTATTAAATGTGTGTATATGTCCTGCCCTCTGGCCATACACTCACACAACAGTTACACAAATACATTTAACTCTTCTCTGGTTCTGGCAGAAACAGTTATTTCTGAAATGTTTTGGGACACTTGGATGTATCCCTTTCAGTATGATAATTAGCCTATTATCATTAGCCAGACAGCATGTGTGGGTGTAGGTATTCCTTTTATTATAATAATAGGCAGTATTGTATGACTTGTTGCATGGGTGTAGGTATTCCTTTAATTATGATAATAGGCTGCAGGATGTGATCCAAAAAGGAGAAAGTGAGTTTGAGATGGAATCAGAGGACAGTGACACTGCTATGAGTAAAGAAGATGCAGATGACCCAATGACCGCCCAGTCAGTGATTATGTGGACATCGAGCCCAAACCAAATAAACACACCAAGCCCTGTGACAGGTATCGCTGGCTGAACAAATATTTTATTAGTCCCAATACTGATTTTTCTGGTCCAGATATCACAGAGGAATTCATTTACAGGTACACAAACACGCAATGCAGCAAGTGTGACGTCCGTCTGTGATTTTCCGACGACAGGAACTGTTTTTGGGACTATCATTGCATTACTATTTAATAAATGACTATTCATAACAAATATGAGTGATGTGTGATTATTATTCATGCTATATACTGATATAGGGCTAAGTAAGCAATACATCCTGCAAATTAATCCTTAGTTATTCAATATATTTATTCAGACAATGTGAGTAGAAATACAGAAATTCTGCTTTAAGGCAAACGTTGCAGTATTACAACATTTCTCTAAAAACGTACCAAAACGTAAACAATTTGAAAACTCTTTAATTTCTGCTCCAGAGGCTCCCTACAACATCTGAAAGGTAAAAAAAAAAAAAAAGCTTTACAGAGTTAGAACATTTTGATGTTAATACACTACTTTTTAACTTTTTATATTTAAAATGTTCATTCCTGTTTTTTAAATTAAAATATTAGATCCATCACAAGAGTGATATCCCACAAGTGGTTGAGGAAGTTTTCTTAATTCCATTGGGCCCCGTAGAGCCTGAATACGACCCTTTCTAATATCTTGTTGGTTTGAAAAGGCTGCATTACTTACAAGGCATTGCTGGAAACTGACCTAACTTGATTACCCAGGGGCCCACACCTGTTCCTGTGCATGCATTTGACTGGGCCCCAACAGGCCCCGTCAATAGTTGAATCCTGCCAAAGTATACTATAATGTAAGCCCTTATTAATGTGTGTAAATGATATGGATCCTTTACACAGATAATAAATAATGATGGTGATAAATAAATAAAATATCAGGATTTTAAGGTCTCCGTACACTAATGACAACAATATGTAAATAGATCATTACCAGTAAACATCTATACATTTACTTGAGTGAAAGTATGTCAATATTATCATAAATATGTACATTTTATTAAGCCACAAAATGGCCCCTTTTCCTGTTGTATGATTGTATATTATATCATAGGATCATTTTTAGTGTTACTAAAGGATACAATATATTTGAATGTGGCACCTGGTCAAGTTGGAGCCACATGGATTGTATATATCAAAACAGTGAATTTATATGCTTAATATTTTCAGAGAAAAAGATAAAACAATTGTTGAAAAAAATGCCTTTGAAATGTAGCGGGGTCAAAGTATAAATATTCAAAGAGTTTAAAGAGCATATTGTGTTTACTTTCAGGTACATATATTGTGTGCCTCTAACTGTAATGTTCAAAAAGCTCTTTATTTTTCTCATACTGCCTGTGCTGCAGCACCTCTTTTCACCCTCTGTCTGAAACCAGAGCCCAGTCTGCTCTGATTGGTGAGCTGGCCAGCTCTGTTGGGATTTGTGAACTGCTTAGAGATGTCCCGCCTCTTAGCCAATAATGTACTATGTAAAGTGGAAGTGTGTGGGAGAGAAACTCCCTCTGGAAGGAACACATGGATTTTAGCCTTTGCGGACCATTTACATGCACTAAAAGCTATATAACACACTACTACAGGAAAGGGAAACTTCAAAAAGTACAAGTACAAGTACCCGTTGCAATGTACATTCCACACAATGATGTTCGGACACAGTAAACCTTTCAAAACACTTTTATTTTCATCTTCTATGCCTCCCAAAATGAGAAGCTCACAAACAACATTTCCTTGGTGAGTTTAAACAAGGCAGTGACACGTGTAGCTCACTGTATGTGTACCATTAAATGAACATTGCCTTACCTGCACCAGTCTAAAAAACACTGAGATGGATCAGATCAGACCTCTACATGTAAAAACATTTGTATGAGCTGGCTCTCTAAAACACAACAGCATACAACAGCGTTAAATATAGACATTTCCTTCATTCACATTGAAAGAAATGTAAAAAAAAAACGACCATGAGCTCAAGGACAGGAAAAAATATGTTGACCTACCTTAAATATTAACCCTTCATTTAATACTCTAACCATAATATAAATTAAAACAGGCCATAATATCTCATGCTTTATTTACATTCAGAGATGAGGCGTTCATGGGCAGAAATGAATGTTTTTTAAAGGACAGCTGCAGGCATGCACTGCTGCTGTAACAGAGGTACTGTACCGCGGCGAACACACTTCAACAGGGTGACTTTCACAAGAGCATCACACAGCCGTCACCAGGGGAACCAGCCATCTCCATGCTAACCAGCGCCATGGAGATCCTGCAGCTGCTCTTTGATGTAAGTGAGCAGTGATAACACATGGCAGGAGGAGAGGGGGGGAGGAGGACCTTGGACAGTTGTCAAGGTGGAGGCTCCTTTCATACTCCATCCATCCTCACTGTAGAGAGTCTACAGCCTGATCCCAGAATAGAACCATCAGTACCAGATCTGGTTTTGCATCTTCTTGTTACTCTTATTACCTATTGGGTAAATAATATATTTTCACTACAATGTATGCCTTTGAGATGTTTACATTCAGGTATTTTTTTGTTGAATGATCTAAAATCAATTCTTAACATTTTAAGAACAGTCTTCAGTCTGTGATTTATTTGTCTTGTTGACTAAGTAGAGACACTACAGGCACAATTTGATGCCTTTGAAAGTAGTGGAAATAAAGAATTCAAAATATACATTAAGCTATTTATATTTTTTATTTTAAATTTGAATCAAACATTTCAAAAGACTTAGGCCTAGTCTTGTCTTAATGTAAGTAATCCTGGTTATTTTTACATATTACCTTTTTTCTCCTGTAGTGTCTCCCCTAATCGGCTGGATATTTTTGCAATTATTAGTTTAGTTTGTGAAAAAAAAAGTAAAAAAATGCAACTTCGGACAGTCTAAACTGACATCATTTTTTAACCAACACACAGCAAATCTTTACCATTGAGAAGCCAGAACCAGAAGATGTTTGACATTATGTGCTTATGTAAATGGTGTGATCTCGAGTGAAATGTGAGAAGTACCGTTAAAAGCTTGAAATATTGGAATGCATGTGATGTAACTGAATGAATCAATTCCCCTCAGAACACCATGAATGGCACTCAACATGAGTCCGACTGCTCTTCCACAGATTGGCCACATTATAAACAGCAGACGCTATTAATAAACACAAAGCTGTAATGGCGCGTTACATAACTGGTGAAAGGTACAAGATGTCAGCTATGGCACATACACCTTTTTTTAAACCATCGAATACAAAGTGAGATCAGTGAGATGATTGAGGCGAAGGAAAGAGAACAAAAGCAAAGAATGAAATGCAGATGAGAATACATTATTTTCCTTATCAATGAATCGTTTAGGAGGGAGACAAAGCGAGAACCGAAAGGAACTGAAATTACGGCTTTTGTCGATCCTGCTATATCGCAACACCCTCCCATAAGACGAAGAAAAGAAGAAGAAACTTATAATGAAGTTGCAATAACTGAGAAATGTTTGTCATTTTTCATGAAAAATGACATGGATGAAAAGAGTTCGGCTAGGCTTAGAATATTAGATCATGAATAAAGAAATCACATTCAAAGATAACAACATGGGAACTGATGCCGGATGAAAGAAGCAACAAACAGGCTCCAGCATGCTCACGCTAACATCCACAGCGAGACACACTCAAACACACACGGACTCTACAGTTAATACAAACAGGTGTTGTGTCATTTAGCCCTGCAATACCCAACCCCACCCATCAGGTGAGTGGGATTATATCATGCATATTCACTGCAGGTGCAGCAGGTGTGTTTATGGCTGAAAAAAACGTGAACAGCTCCCCCTGCTGGTCGGATGCCGGCACTGCAGCTGCTCAAGGTGTCGTTCTAAAGCCTGAGTAGAAAATGGCTATGAGGCGTTTATGGCTACCGAAAACACCATAGGCTGCCAACACCCTACTAAATGAAGAGTTCCTTTCTTTTTTTTTTACATTCTCTACCTTTTTCATGCATATCTTACCCTGATCCCTTTAAAATCATGCTATTAAGTCATAGCCAACCATGCGCTTTCTTTGGATTACTGCCATCTGAAATCCTTACGTGAATTCGCTTTTTTTTTCTCCGTGTAATCCCGTCACAAACACCATTTCGATCATTTACTAATCTTTGATAGGTACATAGGCGTCACTGAAATACTCATATTGTGCTGAATTATTACCAACATGTAAGAAAAAAAACCAACAACATATGATTATCGTGTAGCGCTTTCAGGACTTACAATAAACGTGAAGTGCGGCCCACCGAACGCATCTTCGCAATAGTGTGTGTGAATATATTGTAAATATACCTTCATATATCCTACAATATAAGCTGCTATATATACAACACATCGTGGATGTTTTACAAAGAGCATGGATAACATATTTTTCCTTTAACATTTTCAATATCATATTTCATCATACACTTGACATACACAGGAGGAATAGGTTCAACAACAACAAACGACTGTAAAATACTGTAAAAATATTGAAAAAACAAGAACATTCAGGGTCTGCCTGGTGAGTGTGAAAATAGGCTATTATAAATGAGAGGCTATTACGGAGATAACACATGTCGGGTATGAAGAAAAAAGGACTTAAATGACCCCAGAGAACAACTTTTGCTGCTCTCAGTTTTTGCCCTTGAAGTAGTAAAAGGCTTAAAAGAAGCAGTGCTGGATGCAGGCATGCGGATCACTGGGGAAAACAACATTCGGCCAAGAAATAGAAAGAGAACAGAAGCACACCACGGGACAGAAGCCAAAGCAACTGGGAAAGAGATCTCTTTTTCAAGTAGAGCAAAAGAAAAAAGACCTAGATGAGATGCAGTTGCTGCATATCAGGAGTGAAGTTCTACTGACATCTATTTAGCCGTCAGTGCTGAGAGAAAGCGGAGCTGCACGGTCTAATCGCCCTCATCACTCCATCGCTATGTGTTGTGCACAGTGTGTAGATCCACCTTCAGTGAAATAGAAGCTAAAAGCTGTAATGTCCGGCCTGTGTGCGGGATGTGAACACACCGTGGTGATGTGGCAGAAAACAAGGAGCTGGACTGTAAATGGCTCCATAAGACCTGGTGATGTGTTCAGGTCCAGTGACTGATACAGCGCTCCGATCAGAGCGGCTGCAGCAGTACAACTGAAAACAAGTCGTCTTAAAATGTGATGTTTTAATAGTTTGGTCCCAAAACTGAGTGAAAAGTCAAGAGAAAAGGTGGGAGAACGTGGCTGGAGAGGTGAAAGAAGAGGAGAAAAGGAAAGAAGCTGGATGTACGTCCCTGTGTATGAGCACTTCTCCTCCCGCTCAGTCTGCGCTGCTCCCACAGACACATCGTCTCTGCAGATGTGTGACCTCCCACCTCCTGCACCCACACCCCTGCTGGTGCTCCTCTTCCATTCACAGGATCTGCACCTCCTCAGTCCCACGAGAAGATTGGGGTGCCGGGTAGGGCGTCATGGTTTTGGGGGAAGGGAGTGGGGTAGAGACCCTCACTCCTGCTCCCCCTTCAAGCAGAGCTCCAAACCCTCCTGGATCTCAAATAAAAACCTATGCAGGGAGACGGCCTGGCAGTGCAACGCTGTGCCGCTCCCGGCGCCCCCCCCCCGCCTCACTTTTTGACGGCCTGCCGGTAGCTGTGTCTCTGGCCGTCCTGCCGCAGCTTGCCGCTGCAGCCGCTGGCCCTGCTGCTGTTGCCCCCGTCCCGGGCGCTGCTGGCCTTGCTCACCTGGCTGGCCTGGCTGCTGTCCTGCAGCGTGGGGCTGGAGTGGGCCCTCTGCAGACTGTTGTCCTCCAGCAGCTGGGACTCGAACAGAGACAGGTCCTCCTCACCGCTCCGGATCTTAGCTCGCAGCAGCATGACGTACGTCCCGTACCGGGTTTTCTGATAAAGGCGAGACAGAACTGGTGAGTACGGTGAAACATTTCAACTTAAATATAGCACCATTAAACTTCCCCAGTTGAACACTTAGAGCAACATCATCATTCTAGTATTAATAGGTATCTGATATTTAAAGCATTACTAATATTTAGTAAACATGATACATGTCTTTGTTTGTTAACAGTAAAATAAACATTTATTAAAGTTTGTGAGTTTATCATTAATTAATTATGGTTATAATAATAGGTGTTACTGACATGTTATGTTTATTAAATATATATTTGGATCACTCTCTCTGATAAATACAGTAACAATAAAATACTGTCAACAGCTATTGGAAAAATACATTTTCTCCATGTTGTTAGGAATAGAAACTGATACGAATCAGACTACGAACAATATATGAAGAAACCTTTCAGTTAAAACATCCAGAATACAGGTTAATACAAAGTTGGTCACCATAAGAATAAAGATATGCATAATAAGTTGGTGTATGCAAGTGCCACTGAAGAGATTTAATGTCTCAGAGTATTCCAAAATCTTTAGAAGATACATACAGTATTTAATACATTTTGTAAGTCTCTAGAAAGGAAAAGGGTAATGGATTTAACTAATACATATATACACGAAACTCCCCCAGTTGTTTACTGGTATTGTATTACAACTTTGATTAAATTGTTTAAATATGCAAATGAGTCATTATCTAAGGCTAACCTTTGGTGTGGAATTCTACAGTCACTAACAGACATATGCAGTCAACTAAACCCAAAGGTGTGGGTTGGATGTTTTCTTTCCACTGCTATAAAGCACAATAGCCAAACAAAGTGGACCAGTGAAGATTGGACAGCTGAGAGGGCTGCAGTAATGTAATGATGATTTAACGCTTCACTGCATTTCCCATTCCTTTCTTTTATCTGTGTGCAGCTCACCTCAAACTCCAGGTACTCATCCCGCTGCCGGTACTCTTCCAGCTCGCGCCCTTTGACCTTGCGGTCGGGGGGGTAGGAGCGTAGCTCAGTCAGCTCAGTGGACAGGGCTCTGAAGCGGTTTTCATGGGATCTGACCTGCTCCTCCTGTAAGAACAAGGTCAACACGGAGACATGAGGGGAGGGGAAGCAAGGAGTACACACCTGCCTCCTTTCAGTTACAGTGTTTGAATGTTCTGAACTGAAATACCATCCTGTTTGTCAAGAGTATTGGTGCAACTGTGAAATTAAAAACAAATATCCCGTTCGAACAAGATGAGAAGAATAGAATAACAAGACAAAGAAAAATGACTTGTTATGACAAAAAGTGTTCTGAGAAGCTTTTCAGTTTCCCGTCACAACAGATCGACTTGAGGAGTGAAAAGCCTGCAGTCATAAACCACCAGTGACCAGCAGTGATTTATTACATCAGTGTTAGGTGGAGCGTTTAGTCATGAAAATATAATTCTAATTACTCTGCCGTCAAGTTATGAAAAATGATGTGTCCACTCCTTTTGAAAAGGACTTTTTTGAAAGATTTGTATCGCCTTGTTTTGATGAATTTCACAGGAGCCTGGACTTGACTCTGATCAGGTACAGCCAGTGGTGGAATGTAATTAAGGACATTAACTCATTTGTGATAGTTTTGTTTGTGATAAATGTAATTTGAGAGATACGTATTTGTTTCCCACCTTTTTTAATTACACCAAACTGTAACTGTAAATTGGTAAAAGTTTGTTTGAAATCTTTCACTATCTGATTACATTTTTGGTAAACAATATTAGAAATGTAAACATTTATGGGATGCCAGCTTTTGTGCTTTGCAGATTACAGTATTCAGTGTTACAGACATACATTTGCAGTAGTGGAAAGGAACAAGTACAGTTAGTCAAGTACTGTACTGAAGCACCATTTAAGGTACTTTTTCCACTATATTTATTTGATAACTTTAGTAACAAAAAAAAAATTAAGCTGTTTGCATACAAAACAAACGGTTCTATTCTCACTGTTTCCAGAATTCTAACAAACTAAGCAGTAATCGATTAATGGAGAAAATAATAGGCAGAATAATCCATAATTGAAATGATAATTTGTTGACATTGAGCTCAACTCTTTCAACTACATCGGTGAAATATTGCTTTAACAGTAAAGTATGAGGAATAATAATGTGGTTTTATAATATTATTTCCTTCACAGGGGACCTTAATATACTTCAAATAATTAAAGTACATTTTTCTTATTACACTAACAAACCACAATTTTCAATGCAGGACTTTCATTATCATCTGTTAAAGGGTATCTTTTAAAATCGGTGTAAATCCTTTAACCTAGCCAATGAACTGAACACTTTCTCATTCACTGTGAAAGCAGTTCACATTTTAGGGGTCATATAATGCTCTTTTCGAGGGGGGGGGGAAACTCGCTCTTGAGGGAACTGTGGCATTTTAGTCTTTGCAGACCATTTACATGATGAAAAAAACCTTTATAACACACAACAGGAAAGGGAAAAAGCACAATAGGGCCCCTTTAGGATACCTCGGACAGCTTTGACATGGTCCCAGGCAGCAGCGGCCGGCTGAACTTCTTCTGGGAGCCGATGGCGGCTGGGAAAGGAGGAGCTGAGAACATGGTGGCCACCGTGTTGATCCTTGTGATCCAAGACTGCATCTGCTCCGCGTTCCTGTGATGTATAACACACATAGAATGCAATTAGTAACAGATCTGAAACAGTAGGTACAACACACACTTATCAGCCCTCTCCATGCCCACATCAGCACATGGCCAGCTTACAGCATCAAAGGGATAATTATCGGAGAACGCAGCCTTGCTGTTGACAAAGAAATTATTTTGGAGCCAATTAATGCATGAGAGAAAATGCCCTGTTTTACACTAACAGACCCATTAGGGGCCCATGAGAAATGTCAGATTGGCTTAGACAGCCTTGCTTTAATTCCCCAGGGAGTGACGAGGATGGAGAGAGATGGAGAGACAGAAAGAGGAGAGGGAGACACAGAGAGGGGTACAGTATCTGGGACAAATGCAAGCTGCAACTGGAGCACAGAGCCTCCAGGGGGGCTGAAACATGTGGCCAGTCATGTGCCACTTGCTGATCAAACACACACATGCACACCTCCACCTTTCCCCTTAATATACATGTATGTATACAGTACATCCTGTGCATGTTTCATTGATCCGTGAGCTCTCTGGGTGTGTTCTGCTGAACACCATGTGCACAGCTGGCTCTGCATGCTGTTAGCTGAGGTTGGGTGCTCAGCTTCATTAGACAGCCGCAGTTACGCTACAGAGCTAAAAGTATGTGGACAGCGTATGTCTCTGCAGCTTCATCTTCAGGTTTCCAACGGATGCTCACACTCAGCCACAAGAGCATTAGTAAGTGTGTTTGCATGCATAAAACAAATTGGTTGCTAGCTGATTTTGTGTTAAACAAAAACATCTAAATTAGGCTAAAGGGCTTTTTTCCCTTCAACAAAAAGGCTGATTTTGCAAGTTATCTTCCGCCACCTTAATGATTCAATATTTTACCGCAGAACATTTGAGTACTTGTTAAATAATGAGAGAGAAAGTGCTACTCTGGGATGGGGGAGAAATCTGATTATTTATGAGCTGCATCTATATTCATATTTATAGAAAAGTGGTTACTTGATGTTATCTATCAACCCCCTTTTTGGTTGTAATTATCTATTGCATGTATTCATCTTGGATCATATCTGTAAGAGTGACAGGTGTTTTACTTGTTTTTATATTATTTGTATTTTATTCTTGTTTGTTATTTTGTTTCATTTGTATTTTTTATTTGCTTTCTTGACTAAGTACATTTCACCTTTGAGTGATCAAGAAAAGGTCTTAGGTCCTATGTAACTTAAGTGCATATAAACCCATACATTTTATGCTGTAGATTTTAAATGTTTGCTCATTTGAACCAAGGGGGCAAAAAAACAACCTTGAAAAATATCTGTAGAACCAAAGGTACACAAACTTGTCCACATACTTTTGACCACACACTGCAGTTTTGACAGAAAAATAAAAATGGCTCATGCACGCTTGCATAGTCAAGATGAGACACAGGTCAATGTATGCAGTGTATGATTAAGGTTTAGTTCTGGTTTTCATTGTATGGCCTGCTGCAGATGCTGTGCAGCTGTCCGTGCACACGCTCCACAGTATGTAATAGTGTCTACACATTATGTCAGCTCAGTGAGGAACACAGAGCAGGACTCACGGGGCCTGGAAGAGATACACCCTCCAGTCGGCGGTGCGCAGGTAGAAGACGTTGGGTCTCTTGCTGTAGTCTGAAGCCTTCATGGCCAGAGAGTGGTGGATGGACACAGCGTTCTTCAGGTCCTCCTCTGATAGCTGTTTGTCAGGCCTGTACTCCCCCTGGCAGGGCAGTAATGAATAAGAAATGAATGCTATGATTAACGCCAACGGGTCTCAGCACTTATTAAAGTGGGAGTGCTGACAAAGAAGAGATTTTATTGGACGAGCAGCAGGAGAGTTAGAATGTGAACATTAGCAGTGCTTTGAAAGTATCCCTTGTGAAAACAACTGATTAATTCTCTCATCTAAGCGTACCTGCTGCTGGACTACACTCTTAGATATAAAGGTTCTAACTAGAACAAAAGGGGGTTCTTCAGCTTGTTACCAAGAGGGGACCTGTTTTTGGTTCTTGGTAGAACCTTTTATATAGGCTCCAACCTAAAACCCAACCTAAAAGGGTTCTACCAAGAACAAAATAGGGTTTTACCTAGAACTCAACATGAAAGTGATCAACCTAGAACCCTTTCAGAGGGTTTTACCTAGATCACAACATAACAGTGTTATACCTAGAACCCTTTCAAAGGGTTTTATCCGGAACCCAACATAAAAAGGGTTCTACCTAGAACAGTAGCTGTTGTGTTGGCAGAGGTTGCCCCACATGAAGCCAGGACAATGTGTCACAGCCCTTTTTAAACATGTAAACAGGATATTGGCTGTGACTACATCGGACATACTGCTTGATAAAGCATTCTGCAGAATGTGTATGAAAGTAAGCCGACACAAAAGAACATTCTGGAAAGTAAAGTAAAAACAGTCACAAGTAATACAATTGTTTCTGATACAGACTTTTTCTGGCAGACTAAAAAAAACAAATAAATAACTAAATAAATACCAAAGTAAAATATACCCTGTAATAATGTGAGTTACTTACTTTTTGCAGATAGAGAATAAGCCCTTTGAGGATGATATAGAAGGTCTTCCAACCTCTCTTCCCTCTTGGTGCTGCGAGGAGGAGAAAAAGTGATAACATCAAAAACACATATATACAATTGCCTTATATGTTACATTTGATTTAGTTTTGACCTACAGTACTTTCCACTTGATGTATTATATGAATTAAATACATGTATGAGCTTCAAGTCCAGGAGGCAAGGAACACATTAAATTAGGATTTATTCAAAGATATAAATCACAACATCACAGCAGGGGATTCCCATCATGAAAGTATGCAGAGAACTAGATACTGCATTCAAAGATGGAGCCTTTTTGCCTTTTGGCTTTAACTATAACTGAACCTTATTGTGGGGTGGGTAATTCAACTGTATGTCAATGATTGTCTTTCGAGGATTGCGTTTTTTGTTGTTGCAGAAAAAAAGCAGTTAAAAGCTAATATTTTCAACCCAGATCTGCCTATAATATTCTTAATACTTCAAATATTGAACTGTGGTAACAAACCATACAGTACACTTTCAAAATGATTGGAGAAAAGCATTTCATGTAAAATAAGACGTATAAAGTCAACCTAGAACACGCTGATTCATCCTTCTTCCTCACAATTTAATTTTGTTTTACCTGATACAAACTTTAGCTATGAACTTTTCCTTACATTTTTGTAAAGCACTTTATAACTTCAGATTGAGTCAATATAAATGTTATCAATAATGTCAAATCAGAACAAATTAGGTGGAGATCATGTGTAGTGGTAAAACAAACAATTACCTTTACATTTTTTCATTATTTTATAATCATTTAGATTAATCGATTAATAGCTTGGTCTATAAGATGTCAGAAAATAGTGAAAAATATCCATCCCAATCTCTCAAAATCAAAGGAGTTGTCTTTAAATGTCTTGTTTAGTCAGCTGGAAAATTCACTTCCCAATGATATAAAACAAAAAAGCAAGAAAATCTTTATATTTCAGAAGCTGAAAACAGCATGTGTGCCATTTTTGCATAACAGTAAACAGTTGGCAAAATATTGACTGGCGATCGACTATTCGACATACTGACTTAATGTTGCAGCTCTAACGATGTGTGATCAAAGGTTCAATAATAGATACTAAATGGACCTTGAGGTGAGCTTATTTTGAAACTGTAGGTGGTAAAACGTAAAGAAAAATATCCTTCGTACTTCTCTTGCCGTCAGAGTCTGCGTGCACTTTGCGGACGAGGAAGCCGTTCTTGTAGAGCAGCGACCCGGACGGATGCGCCTCCTCTGTCGGGGGCTTCCCACTGCTGCCCTCCGCCTTCAGAGATCTGGAGGCGGTGGAGTCACACAGGCTGTCCCCGAGCTCCGAGAACGACTTCCGCAGCTCTTCCTCGTCGCTATGGAGACAAGAAAAAAAAGAGAATGAAAAAAAAAAAAAAAAGATCCCATGGTGATCAACACTTATGTGTCATGTCTCATTTGCAATGCGAATAAACACATCATCATTCATCCTGTCCATGTGCCTCTCACTCTGTGCTTGTTACAGGACAACAGGTCCAGAGATTTCACACACTTACTGTACTGGGGGAACTTTTATTTTCATACAGAACACATGAGTAATATCCAACCTCTACGGCTGGTGTGTTGCCAGAGCTTTATAGTTGCACAAGACATTTACAAAGCATCCTGTAAGCTACCTTCAAAGCTTTAACTGTGTGTCTTCCTGCTCCGGTTCTCCTGGGAAGCACTCTCCTTGATCAAAAAAGAACCACAGCTAAAGAGTGACACCATCTATCTTGCTCCACCTTTGAGGTGAAAAACAGGGGCATCTTTACCCTGGGGGGGGTCGGTCGACTCCTCTCAGAAACACAGGCGCACCACTCTTACTCCTCCACCCTCTTGAAGCCTCATAGAGTACTTTAATACTTCATAGCACAGTGATACAACATAAAATCTCAGTCTTATTTTATAAGCCAGCCTGGAAGACGGCTCTTTAAAATGCGCAGAAAGAATGGAAATGTGATCTACATTTCAGCTCCATCTGCAGAGGAAGACTGTGTGAAATCGAAGGTTTCACAACAACTGAATTGGTGTGAGAATCGTATTCATTTGTGTGAAAGGTAATTGTGTTCATATAAACACCTCTTAGATACTAGCCTGAGGTATGTCCGTATCAACTTTTAGTACTACACTACCACCAACAATTATTTTAAAAATACATCTACATTTAGACACCCTTATGCTTTTTGGCGTTGTCCCTGTTTTCCTGTGGTGTGTTATATAGGTTGTTGTGCATGTAAATGGTCCGCAAAGGCTAAAATAAAAAGGTGGCTCACATAATGACATCATTATGTTACACTAAAGCTTCTATTGGCTCGCGCTGCAGCAAATTGTACGTGACTGTTACTGCTTATTATTGGAACTTTTATGAATTATTTAAACTTTGTTGTTTTCTTTTATCCTTTACTTCTTTAAGTACGACTATTGTTTTTTATTTGGGATGGTATCTTTATAATACATTTGTGGCTACTAACTACTGCATAATGTTCAAACCTTTATCTTAATAGTGTTTTTAAAATGTGTGTAGGTGAAATTTAAAAGATACAATAAATAATAAAAAATAGACAGCACAGTGTAAAGCACCATATCTGATAGGAATGGGACACAGCTAAATAAATATGACCAACGTTGAGGTTAACTGTAACATACTTTCAATTCCATTATTAAAAACGTATTAGAGAAACTGCTGAAAAGATAATTTACCAGCTTCTGTTTTTTATTAAAGAACGTTTTCAGGCTGAGAGTTGTTGCTTAAGTTTCTGCGCAGATCGCTCATTAGAAACATTCCTTGAGGAACCATCTCTGTAAATAAGGAGTGTTCATGAGCTGCTGAGTTCCTGCTCACTTGACTGCAGCTTTTGTATTAAACTACTCTGATGTGCGCTGTACTGTAAGTGTATGTGTTCTTGTGTGTGTGTGTGTGTGTGTGTGTGTGTGTGTGTGTGTGTGTGTGTGTGTGTGTGTGTGTGTGTGTGTGTGTTTGTGTGTGTCTTTCCAAAAAACATGTATCTTATTTTGGTCTTTTCCATCTCTCTTCTATCCACCAACAGTGCATTTAGCCATTGTTTGGATGATGAAATACTTTTGTTACGGTGATTTCATTTGGTTAAAAGTTGCATTTTGTTTTTACCATTTTTGTGTTGTAAATAGTTTTCATTACTTTTTTATTACTTTTACCAAATAGTCGTCCATTTTATTTTCATTTGTAGACATTTCTTTAAGTTTAATTGTAATTTTTTTATCATTCCCTTTTTTGTTTCTATTTTAATGTATATTCCAGTTTATTAACCCTTGCTTTATTTCGTATGTGTTTTATCATGGCTCTATTACCCTTTTTTTAACGTTTCAAAAACCCCTTTTTGATTATTTATTTAAAAATTTGTGTTTTGTTGTAACGTAAATTCATGTCAACGAGCCCCTTTTTTATTTTGTACACGTTTGATTTATTTTTTTGAATTGTTCTTTTTTATTTATTCTTAATTCTATATATTTTTTTCTTTACCAACTGGTATAATATTTGGTATCTGTTGTTGCTTCTATTATGCCCCTTTTTTCTTTTTAAATGTATGCATTTCCCTTCTGTTTTACTTTTTACTTTCTTTAAAATATTGTCTCTATTCATTATTATTTGTGTGTCCATCACAGCATTTATTTTCATCTGTTCTTTAAATTCCCTCGAAATGTCTGTTCCTGAGTATATGAATTGCTTGTATATATATATATATATACATATATTACCGTATTGTATGTTTTGCACTGGAAACAGCCAGACAATACTAAGTGTACACATTACTACAGCAGTGCTAATCCCATTCTGCTCTAAATAAACGCTCACAATACGCTGTATGGATTATTTGAGTGTTTTTTTAAAGGGATTTGTCACATCAGGAGATGATAAATGCTTTGAGCATCAACACTGAACGTCTCTGCCTGGTGAGGTAGCATGGCAATTCCACTTGTTACCTCACCAGCCGGCACCCATGTAAAAGTTCAGCCCAAAAATAGAAAGATGGCTGTATGCCGAACCCCCCCGAGACCACGCTATGAGTAACCAACAGAACATAACAGCAGTTAACCCCGTGCAGGAGCCAGGGAGAGAAAAGGGAGACGGAGCCAATGAGCATGCAGCCTGTTGCCTGGTAACTGCTGGCCTGCTTCAATACCATTCTACACAGAGACAAAGTGGAGAGGAGATAGAGAGGGGGGGGAGGATGGAGGAGAGAGATAGAGGAGTGAGGAGACAGAGACAGAAGAGGGGGGGAAGACAAAGCTGATCCTTCTTAGATGGCAGAACATTATCCTCAATGATGTGAGTGAGAGGAGGAGGGGAGAGGAAAACAATAACAAAGGAAAGGAAAACAAAAGGTATTTTCCTCCATACCCAAATCTCTAAAAAAGGGGCTGCAACGGATCTGATAAAAACTGATCCAGATTTGAACACTGTCCTGACGTCACAGAAGTGGCGCTACGGCTATTGGGCCAACTCTCCACCTATCAGGGGAATGTGGGGTTGGGCCACGGCCGGCCATTGCCGCTCGAAAGCGCTGGAGACGCTGTAGTACATATGCCAGGCCTGTAAGTGGCGCTGTAGTCTGCCACAAAAGCAGCGAAGAAGACTTCCCGCGCATGGTTACCATGGTTACCCTTCTGTTTATTCTCCGCTGTGGCTTTCTTTCTCCCTCCCCGAGGCAAGCGTTTGCTCCCGCTGCTTTAATTCAATGCAATCCCTCCCCGTCGAGGCAAGCACTGTAATTCTCTCCGGTTAGTCCACCAGCAGATGACAAACACCCACCTCTCCGCCTCTTCCAAGGAACGAGGGGACCGTGCGGCAGAGTTTCAGTTAGGTTTTCTTTCGCCGGTCAAGATGTCCGTTAAAGTTGAAATCTTCCGGACAAAATTAGAAAAGTGCCGGTCAAAAGTCTTCTTTGTTATTTATTGAGCTTTAAAACAAATGAATAACGACTCTATATAATAATAGGCTATAAGAAAACACGGAGGACGGAGATCTATTTTTCTCCCCCTCTTCTGACTTGATCAGAGCGCGCTCCCCTCTCCTGCAGGGGGGCGTGGTCAGCTGCAGCTCACAGAATCATCCCCCTGCAAAAACAGTGCTGGAGAACAGCAAATAGAGCGAAATGAGGCATGGCTTAAAATCATGATCTGTTTGGTATTTTGAAAACAGAAACTTATAAATATACCTTGTATAGGTATGGCCCTACAATATATCATTTAAATATAGCATGATAGGTGTCCTTTAAGGCACGGGCCAGCGCATATCGCTCAAAGGAATCCCTGGCCATATGAATCTTTGACCCTCGGAGATAGAGAGGCAGAACGTGTCTGCTCCCTTAGGATAGGTCTGAGAGACAGGGGTAGGAAGAGAGAAGTAAGAAACAGAGGAAGAGAGGCACAACGTGTCTACGTAAATGCACTCTCCTAAAATAGTTTGAGGGAAAGGGGTGAAGAAATACAAAGTGAGAACCTGAAATGAAAAGGCACCACATTGCGTAAATGCTTCCCCTTCGAATAGGGTGGAAATTATGAGAAGGAGACAGGGACACAAGTGAGAGGAAACATTTTAAGGAAAGGAGAGGACAGGATAAGACTGGTAACGAACACTGAACTAAGGAAAGGTTGCGGAAAAAAGTAAATAAAGAAAAAAAGGAAGGTAACAGAAAAAGGAAAAAGAAGAAAAAGGAAAGGAAAGTACAAAAAAGAGACTAAAGAAAAGGAGATTAAAGGAAAAGGTAGGAAATATTTTTTTTAAAAGATTAGGAAAAAAAGAAAGAAACAGAGGTAACAAAAGAAAGGATAACAACAACATTGAGTGGAAATGAAACATATCAAAAGAGGGAAATTGATTGGGGGAGGAGAGAAGAGGAAAAGGAAAAGGAAAAGGAAAATGAAATGAAAAGAACAAAAGGAAAAGAAGCAGGGCATGGAGTAGAGAAACAAAGGGAAATCATTACATTCATAGAAAAAACCGATAACAAAAAATAAATAAAAGAATGACCATAAAAGAAAGAGATAAAAAATACAGGCAGGAAAAAAGTAAATTCTAGGAAAATAAATAAAAGAATAGGAAATGCAAGGCAAAATACTAGAAAGAAAAGGGAAATAAAACGAATGAAACTGAGAGAAAAGAAAGACAATAAAAAGTCCATTAATGAACATTGATATATACATACATGTATATATATATATATATATATATATGTGCGGATGGCACACATCTGGCAGGTGAGAGATGGAGGCAGCAGACAATAGTGAGACAGGGGATTAGCAGAATTAAAGGAATAATGGAGCAGAGGGGGTCTCATCTGTCCCTCTCCCATCACTCATTTCACACATTTCAATCTCCACGCTGCACTCATCATGTCCTACTGTCATATTCTACAGAGGAGTATTAGGGTCATGCACAATGGGGAAAAAAGAGAAGGCAGATATTTTTTGTTGCATCTCAATTTATGTAAATGTCTATCCTGGGGACTATATCACAATACAGTAAATGTTTTGTAAACTCAATTAATAAGTGTTTTTTTAAGGATCCTTATGACAATCATTTTTAGTGTAACAGGCTTTACGGATAATCGGTGAAAAATTCAAATACATTTTTTTTGATCTATGGAGTAGGCTACAGTAAACAAAGACTTGATTTACTGTATGCTGCAAGTTTACATTTTTTCAATATAAATAAGCTGACAAAATACAGTGGGAATGTCTGGTTATTTGAGAACCACATCTCTTCTCACCATTCCATAGCAATGGGGCGAAATCAAACGAGGATCACTAGATCATTTGAGAATAGCTACCTCGGAGAAAAGCTTTGAAAGATTCTCGACTGGTTGACACATTTCTACTGTTGCACGGTTTATACTGTCATATCACCCAACAAAGACAAAACAAAACACCAGCAGAAAGACCAGACAATATAATCAATAAGGACAGAGGATGTGTCATGTGATCAGGATGGATATGCCAGTGTGAAGTGATATGTTTTGAGACTAAATGGAGACAGAGTCAATATTCCGGATGTCAGTTGGGAGGGAGTTCCAGAGGCGGGGTGCAGAGCGGCTGAAGGCTCTGGACCCCATGGTGGTTAAACTGTGACATGTCTCCATGCTTTAATGTTCAAAAAGCTCTTTATGTTTCTCATACTGTCTGTGCTGCAGCACCTCTTTTCACCCTCTGTCTGAAACCAGAGCCCAGTCTGCTCTGATTGGTTAGCTGGATGGCTCTGTTGTGATTGGGCAACCGCTTACAGATGTCCCTCCCCTTAGCCTATAATGTGTTGCCAATAGAAACACAAGTGTACGAGACTCAGGTTGAAGTATCAAGAACAAAGTAGAAATGTTGAGAATAAACGTCAGACTTAAAGAGGATTCTCAATTCTACTGTATTCTCGACATTTTGACTTTAATCTCGAAATGTAAAATGAATTAAAAAAACCTAATCTTTAATGTATTTATGTCTTGCTCTAATTGTCTTCCGTAGAAATTCCACCATGTACACAAAGTTTCTATCAACAGATCTCCCTGTATCTCCGACTTGTTGCGTCTCTCTTTTAGTGCCCACCACCACCACCTCTCCTCAATGAGGAAGCTTGTGTGTACTGTATACGTCTCTGTTTGTGCGTGCGTGTGTGTGTTTGTGTGTGTGTGTGTGAGAGAGGAGAACATGCGGGTGCATCCAACTGCACGGTTGAGAGAGTGGTTGTGTCTTTTCTCTGTGGGGGTGTAAAATAACATCCATCGCTGTGTGTTTTGCGTTGTCCTATAATACTCTGTGCCCACACACATACACACACACGGACACACACCTGTAATAACACAATATTTCAGATTTCACATACAAGTTGTATCCATGTTATTGCAGCAAATGGTTTGTCTTAGGGTCTGAAATCACACCTCGATCACAGTGTTTTTATTAAGCCTCAATCTGCTAGTAAATTAGAAAATCAATACTACCGCTCTATATATAGAATACAAAGTTTCTATTTGCATTTGAAAAAACTCATACTACAATAATATGTACAGTACTGTATATATATACGTATGTAAATGTAAATATCATGTCGTTTTTCTTCTAATTTGTCCCTTTAGTGAAGTATTTATAATGTTTTCTTTCTTTTACTGCCTATTTTATTGTTTATATCCAATATTCATTTGCAACACAGACCTGGAATAGTCTCCCTGATGATATTAGACAAGCCCCACTTTAAAGTCAAGGATAAAAATGTTCTATTTTGACTGCCAACTCTGCCCTTTAATGGCTTAAAACGTATCTTTTCAAATCCTTGAAATCCACTCTTTTTCTAGTATACTATTCTCATATAAACTAGCAAAATGCATTATGTTTATCGTCTTTCACAGAATTGTTTTTCATCATGCACCAGAATACCGAGGCAAATGCATTGTGTGAAAACTGTTAAAGTATAACAGAATATAATACACACTTTGTTTTGCTGTGATTAAAATCTGCAAATTGCAAACACAACATGAAGACAAACATTCCTAGCAAGACCAAAGCAGCCTCAAAATGGATACACAACAGAAGTGTGTCACAGGGTGTTGTGTTCGCAGTCAACTGAGTTAGCAAGTGAAAAAATGTCCTCTGTCTGTGTGATGAAATATGCATCAACTAAGCAAGGAGGGTGTGAACGTGGTGGCAAAAGTGACACTGTGCTACTGTATGCTTCCAAAAAGTGTTTTCAGAGCACGATTTACTCTATTTCAATGATACTGGCATGCTGAAAAAAATGTGCATATCTCTGCTGCCAAAGAGGAAAAAAACACTGCTGCGAGCCGAGTCTCTTTATCTGTAATTACTTTTTGTTTGGAGGTGGATTCTCCATTTGCTCGGTGGTGTTTACGCGTCTTAAAAAAATGACATATTTTCTATCCCCGCGTGGCCTCTTATGTGGTGGCAGTGTTTAAATAGCTGTCTATATGTCAGCGGAGATGTTTAAACTGGATTGCCTGGCTCTCTGCGGATCTCCTCCTCGATCTGCTCCTCTGACCACTTTTTTTCCTGCTGCTTCAGGAGCGCTGCTGCAGCTATTTTTGGAGAGGTAGTGGGAGGCTGTGGTCACACCTTTGTACAGGATGCAGGTAAAGAGCCATTTAAATCATCCCTCTCTCTCTGTTAGTCATTGTTTTTCTTCTTCCCCTTCATATTCACATGTACTGAAGCCGCACAAACACGTTTCCTGTGTACATTTGCACATGGGCATATCCATCTGGTACCCTGTGTGTGTTTGCTACTGAGAGAACACAGGGAGGAAAGAGCAATGCGGTAGCTATGGAGTCGTATCCATGGTGCCGTAACTATGGCAACAAAGCTTGGAAAGCTAGTGACTTAATTGGCATCTCTGAGGCGCTCTGCAACTGTGATCGAGAATAGCAACCCTTGACACACTAATGTTTCCTTCGCATGCCAGACAACGCTCGCGTCATTAATAAAGACGCTAAACGGATTTATCAATATCCCTTATTGTTTCCTGTCAGTCAGGACAGTCTGTGTGTGTGTGTGTGTGTGTGTGTGTGTGTGTGTGTGTGTGTGTGTGTGTGTGTATATTGAAGGCAGGACACTACAGCCAAACACAGCCTTTTCTCATGCATTATTCATAAATTTAAAAAAATCCAAAATACACATTTAGATGTTGGATAACTGCACTTTTTTGTATTCGTGTCGTTAAATGTGTCCTAAATTCAGCAAAAGTTAGCACTCATTTGCATAATTTATACTTGAAATGCAGAAAATAAATCTCTTAAATAAGTAAACACCTCGGCTGGTTTCATGGTGATATTTATAAGTTAGATTTTTACCCATTTCACCAGTAGTGTCTCCTTAAATGTGTGGTTGAGTTAATCATTGTCACAGAGAAGTAGAACAAATTAAGGTGAAAAATATGAACATAAGAAGACTTACAGTGTCCATTGCAGCTTCTGATTCTTGATTGAGTTGTAGAGAGCCTGCAGAGGGAAAACAAGACCATCTTTTAGACAAATATGACTAACAGCAGCAATGTTGAGTGGTTTGATCAAATATTACAGCAGGGTGGGCAAGCCCGGCCTCATTCAATAAATTGTACTCAGGGAAATGTCATCCCCTTTCACGCTTCTCAAACAGCCCTTTGCCTGAGCCCAATTCATTTTATTTTGCCGAACAATCCATCAATCCTCCAATCAGCAGACCACCACAACATCAGTTACAAAGCCATTATCTGTCGAGCACCCGCCTGCCAACGGACAGACGAGCAAATCAATCTGCCCCAATAAATAATTTAGCTGCTTTGACTCAAATGCATTGAGTGGCAGAGAGCAAAAATGCAGTTACACAGGCTCCGCCCTCTACTGGACTCTATGGGTACTACCTCTCAACCATACTATGCGAGCATTCACTTACTGAGATATTTATAACCGTAGCCGGCCCCCGGGGCGGGCCTACCTGAATGCGTGCACAAGCCCACCGTATATAAGGCGGCCACGCCTCCCGTTCCCGTCATCCTTTTCTCTTCAGCGAGCGAGCAACAACTGAAGTAGAGAAAGTAAAACGTTTGAAAGAAGAAGAAAGAGTTATCATACCTCCACGGAGTCGCCACTTCTAGAGACCCGGGCCTGTCCTTCGTGCCCTGGCTTAAATAGCGGGCGCCGATCCCCACCACCTCTGCTTCGAGTGTTTGGGGGACCAGGATATGGCCGAGGCGGTGCCATTCACGTTCGCCATTCCAGCGGGGCGGATGGCTCCGTTTGCCGTTGTCGGGCATTTCCGGGTCCGGCGTCCATGGAAGTCCACCACCCAGGGCTGTACTTCCCCCTAGGTGATGACCATGGCGGCGGAGCGCAACTTCTCCCAGCGGGCAGCAGGCTGGGCAGAGAGCTGAAAGGAGCTCTGCCCCGCTGCCGCGTGAAAGGGCGGCTGCAAATAAACACGGATGTGTTGGACATCTCGCTCATTGCTAGAGATGCCCCCACCTCACCAGATTAGAGCGATTATTTGGCCGCAAGGCCGAATTAGTAGCTTGGTCTACGGTGTGGCCGCTGCCGCTGCCTGCCGTGTGATGTCTCTGGGGGACTCAAGAGACGCTATTGTCTGTTGTCAGAAAACACACCTTGCCTGGTGTAATAGCTCTGACTGATGCATTTCACCGTCTGTGTGAAGATGGCATTATTACTGGAACTAGGACAGCCGGGCGATTGGTTCACAACCATCGACCTGAAGGACGCTTACTTTCATGTTGAAAATTGCTTCAAGCACAGAAAGTATTTGCGTTTTGCCTTCCAGGGGGTAGCCTACGAGTACAACAGCCTACCGTTTGGCTACTCCCTATCCCCACGCACGTTCAGCAAATGTGTGGCCACAGCGCTTCAGCCGCTGCGCGACCGTGGCATGAGGGTGTTCTTTTATCTAGACGACCTCATAGTCATGGCCAGGTCCAGGGAATGGGCAATGTTTCACACAGCCCAATTGATCCTACACCTAACCAAGTTGGGTTTTGCGGTCAATTGGAAGAAGAGCTCCCCCATACCTTACCAGCAGGTGCAGTATCTGGGGATGTTGCTCGATGCAGGCAGGCTACGCGCCACCTGTGGGTTAGCAGATATCTGACCCCCCCCCCTGGACATAGTGCACTTATGTTTTCCCATGCTGCTTAGGGACCCGGGAAACATGGTGTGCAGTAAGCCCCATACAGGGCTGGGGGACTCTCCTCACTATTTTCCATGCACACTCTTCACGGGTAAGCGTGTCTGAGTGTGGGGGACGTGGTGCACTTACGTTCTCCCAATGCTCCTTAGGGACCTGGGAGGCGTGGTGCACGGTAGGTCCCATGCAGGGCTGGGGTCAGCAGGTATCTGACCCCCCCCCCCCCTGGACATAATGCACTTATGTTTTCCCATGCTCCTTGGGGACCCGGGAAACATGGTGTGCAGTAAGCCCCATACAGGGCTGGGGGATTCTAACTTCCTGCCTATGGCAGGCAGGGAGAGCCCTCCTCACTGTTTTCCAGGCACACTATTCACGAGGTAAGCGTGTCTGAGTGTGCTCTACCAGCCAGGTAAACTGCGGCCCCCACTTCTCCACGGTCACAACCGGAGGAGAGGAGATTGCGGTGCAGTGGCTGTTAACCAAAAGCCGGTCAGGGGCAGTGTGGTGACTCGATGTTGTTGGACGACAGGGCGTTTAGGCATCAGGGCTCCACCCACTGTACCCACAGAGTCCAGTAGAGGGCGGAGCCTGTGTGAGATATAACGGTGGGTTACGTATTGTAACCCTAGTTATATAAGCCCAGGCGGAGCCCTTTATTCGGGGCCCTGTCTGTCCTATGCTCCTTGCTGAAGAGAAGTGTAGGATGACGGGAACGGGAGGCGTGGCCGCCTTATATACGGTGGGCTTGTGCACGCATTCAGGTAGGCCCGCCCCGGGGGCCGGCTACGGTTATAAATATCTCAGTAAGTGAATGCTCGCATAGTATGGTTGAGAGGTAGTACCCATAGAGTCCAGTAGAGGGCTCCGCCTGTGCTTATATAACTAGGGTTACAATACGTAACCCACCGTTACAGCTTAAGAGCATGAACACAAAAAAAAAACAATCGATAAAAAGAAAAACACAACAAAGACGTGTGCAAGCACAGCAGAGGTCACACATTCATCGTAATGCTATAGTACAGAATACGTTGATTGACTGAGTAATCAAGAAAAATAAGAACGTCTTTATCAAGTGCAGGCAAGCTGTTTTTTTTACATTTGTACAATTCCGGGTTGTTGGGAGTGTTTGTCAGATAAAAAATGAATCAATTAAAACACTCCAGATGTTGGAAGATCTGTTTCTTGAGTACGGAAGCTCTAAACGCCCATGGTTCAAACATTTCATTTCCTCGGTTTCCTCTGATAACAAGTTAATTTTATATATTTTCCTAAGTTCACAATTTATTTATATCAACATCACAAAATAACAAATCTACTTGTCTCAAGAAAGATTCATGATCTCATATACTCAAGAATATTGATCCGTTATCTGGGTAGTTCTAAAAAATAAGGTTGGGATAATGAGATAAATAACTTGCCAACTTGAGGAAAGAAAGAAATTAACTTCACTCCCTGGAAAACAGCGGAAATACAATTTACAAACAAAAGCTTTTAGAGCTTCCATACTAAAGTGGTAGTAGTGGTATAGTAGCAGTAGTCTTAGTAGTAGTAGTGGATTAGAATGGTGAAGTAACATAAAAGGCAAATACTTAAGTTAAGTACCTTTAATTGGTACTGGATATATCATGACATAGTTATATTTCTCCCACACATCTTTTAGGAAAATGAATCAAAGTATAAACCTAATGATTGAAAGCCTAACTGGTATAAAAATCCATATTGCCATAAAGAAGTTAAATGACTGGTAGCGCTGGTCTAATTAAACCAGACAAACTGTATTACTGTAAATCAATAGTTCCCTGGACTGGATAAACGGCAAATTAATCTGGCATTGCCACAAAGTAAGATGCATATATATATAACTGCGTATATATAACTGCATTAATGCTTAATTTCTATAATAACTAGTAGGTTTTTCTCAATGTTTTTTTGTTCAAATTCAAATGTATTCCAGTTATTCATTATCCTGTAATTGAGGTTTGATTCACTTGCACCAGATTTTTATCATTTTTTTGTTTCAGCTTATTGTTTCCCCTCTCAGAAGAAAAATACTCTTTTAATTTCATTATCACCTTAATCTAAAAATAACACAACAGGGAGAGAAAATATGAGAGAGTCTCATGTTGAAGCTACCTCTCGTCACAGAAAGGATTTGGACAGCACTTCCACTTCCTCAAAATGTGCAGTGACAATCAAGACCTGCGACACATTACTGACGCCGCAGCATGAATCCATCAGATGGAGGCAGAGGATGCAGCTGATAGACAGCAGTGTCAGCAGAGGTGATGGAGAGGACGCCTAAAGACATTTCATCACAACCTTGTTCACCTCTGAATTCCTCATAGACCGTTACCATACGTTCTTTCCATCCAAGGCCAATATTTCCACGTGGTGTGAGAAACATCACACTCAGCTAGAATCGATAATTTCCCATTTCATTCCTTTGATTAAAGAGCTCCTGCTAATGCTCTTCACTTGGATTCTGCTGTCTCACACTTCCAACATATTATGAATATGATTTTGTTGCCTTGTGACGTTTAGTCAAACGAAATTGGATGTTCAATAGGGTTTGATTCAGCATGCCTAATCGGGTTCATTTCCAGAGTTTTCTTCGAAACTGAATCGGAATTATCCAATGAATATTAACAACCATCCAGCCTGGACCATAATAGATTTCAGTTCTGGTTTCCATATATACTCTACTGTATATATAATGGCATTCACACTAAATGTGCTCCTATATTTGAGTAATCACAGAAATACAGCTGAGCTTCCAAGAGTTGGCCAATTTTTAAAGTGAAAGACAAACTGCTTCTGTAGCACAAATCGGGTTGATATCAAATATTAACGGAGAATTTGTAAGCTGTAAGAAGTTTACTGATTTGCCACAACAGCAGCATATTTTCTGGCTACAAAAGTGAAGAAAAACTGCTTAATTTAAGGTTTGTCCCTGAAGAATGTTTTTCATTTGTACAAAAGGGAAACCTATGGGAACACAACACTATCAACAGCAGAGGGACTCTGTGGATTGAAAGATGACTGAAGATGATGAAGTAAAAGGAGGTATAGAGTGTAAATCAGCCTCATTCAGTCTGGAGTCATTAAGGCAACGATGGATGTTTCTCATCTTATCCAACTTGCTTTACAAACGTCACCGAGTGCCAGCAAATGAGAGCCATTAGCCTTGAGTGGTGCCTTTACACAACCTGCTGTTCTGAGCTGGCAGTCAACCAATCTCCTTCATCAAACATCGTACTGTCCATATGTGGATGTAAACAAAGTGTTTAGATGTTAAATCAATAATAAATACAATCCTTATAATATG